AGCGCGCCAGCCTGGGGGGAAGCTGGGGGGGGAGGGGCACTGACCCATAACACATTAAAGGACGGGGAGGAAGGGAGGGGGGAGGGGGGGGACAAAGGGAGGAGTGAGAAGGGGAGGAAGCAGAAGGAGGGGAGGAGGAGGAGGAGGAGGAGGAGGAGAGGAGAAGAGAGGATTAGGAGGAGACGACGGGAGGGGGGAGGAGGAGGAGGAGGAGGAGGAGGAGAAGGAGGAGGAGGAGGGAGGGGGGGAGGGAGGAGGGGGGAGGAGGGAGCCACGAGGAGAGAGGAAGGACACGAGGAGGAGTGGGAGGGGAAGGGAGGGGAGGGAGGGGAGGGAGGAGGATGAGGGGGAGAAAGAGGAGGAGGAGGAGAAGGAGGAAGAAGAAGAGGACCCTACCTCGCCCCGTTTGGCCCGCGGCCGGTGCGTGTCTCGGCACTGTCCACTAGCAGCTGCTGTTGCGACTAAGCCCACAGCATCCTCTTCCTCCTTCTGCTGTTCCAGATTCTTCCACGTTTGCGCACAGGTTGTTTTTGCAGAGCGGGGTCTCCGAAAAAACGAAGCTTCTTCAGGGTCAGCTTTGCATCCCAGGTCATTCTTTGACGGCCCCGGGGCCCGGCGAGGGCCCCCCGGGGGCCAACCACTGCCCCAAAAACTCGCGTCAGGTGTATATATTTCACGAACGGGCATGTGAGTGTTCGGGCCAGAGCTCGGGCCTCCCGCGGCCATGCGGGATGATGCAGGCGACCCCAGAGCGCCCTCCTCGGCGAGGCGCAGCTGCTGGAAAGCATGCCGAGGCCGGAAGGCCTACGGGAATCTACGAAAACGGCCTTACAATCTCCCGTCGTGATGCTCGCACGACGCCGGAACGTCTGGGGACAGATGTCCGTCCCAGACTCTCCGCGCCCCCTTTCTGTGACAACTCATGGGAGCCTCTCACGTCATCTTGCTGGCTCTTGCGACGCTGACCGACGCTAACCGACGGGATTCGACGCGAATCGACGCTAATCGACGCTAAGTCGACGCTGATCAACTCTGAATCGGCGCTTTCTCATAGGTTGCCCACCGCTAGCGCACGCTCACTCACACTAAGCGCGGAATTCCGAAGACATACAGAAGAGCCCATTGTATTATTAGTCGCGATCGCGTCCGTGACCGGCCCCGCCTCCCCCCCCCTGCCCGCCTCTACTGGTCATGCCCGTTATCGCCAGGGGATAAGAAGGCGTCTCAAGCTCCCGTGATTTGCTACAGGCCTCGGCAGAAATTCGCGAACACTCATACCGCATTCATCTGCCAATGCCCCCCCAGTGATCCATGTTGGCGGTGGGCTGAATGAGCTGCACTTCGACCGCAGTTTTCCCCGCGCGTGCCAACTTTGAGTTTGGGGGGGCGGGGGAGTGTCCACTAATGGGGAAATCAAAAGGTACCGATACCGCTGCTCCCCAGACCTCTCCCGGGGTGCGTTGTGGCCAGACTCTCGAGACGGATCCAGCGGTGCTGACGAGGGCCTCCCAGGAGGCCGAAAAAGGGGAAAACCTCCGAAGGGTAGAGGTATGGGTGCCTTTTCCTCCTCTAAACTAACTGCTTCCTTCTGCCGTACCACCCCCCACCCCCACCCGCCTGAGACCCAGCCCGCCAGGGGGGCCCCTGCCAGCAGCCACGCCGCCGCGGCGGCGGCGAGCGGGGCGGCGCCCGCCGGGCGGCGGCGCCTGCGCCCATCCCTCCCCCCCGCCTGAAGCGGATCGCCCTCCTGTGCGCTGGTCCTCCTCCTCCTCCTCCTCCTCCTCCTCCTCCTCCTCCTCCTCCTCCTCCCATCACCTCTTCCTCATCCCCTCCGACTCCGTCCTCTCTCCTCGCCTCACTCATCCTCCTCCTCCTCATCTCCTCCTCCTCCTCTCCTCCTCTTTCTCCTGCTCCTCCTCCTCCTCCTCCTCCTCCTCCTCCTCCTCCTCCTCCTCCTCCTCACGTTGAGACGCAATGCATGAACTATCCTCTCTTTGTCCTTGGCGCTGTCGCCTCACAAACCATTCAAGGAACGACTTGCGAGGATAACGGATTATGTGGGGATAATGAAGATCCCCACCGCTCCTGGCTAGTTTGAGTCGGCCAAGGAAGGCAAATCCTCGTCTTCTCCGGCCATGAAAGAAAACCAGTCCGAAGCAAACTGAGCGGCATAGGTTTCATCACAATGCATTCTGACTGCGACTGCTGAGACGCACCTTTGCCCACGATCCTCTCCTCCTCCTTTTTTTTTTTTTGTTTTTATTTATTTTTGATTTTTTTTTTTCTTTTTGTGTTTCTTTTTCTTTTTTTTTTTTCTCTTTTGTTGTTTCTTTTTTTTACTCCTCCTCCTCCTCCTAATCCTCCTCTCCTCCTCCGCATCATCATCATCATCATCATCACAGCATCATCATCATCATCACATCAGCATCAATCATCATCATCATCATCATCATCATCATCACCACCACCACCACCACCACCATCATCATCATCATCATCATCATCATCGTCATCATCATCATCATCAACAACAACAACATCATCATCATCATCAGCATCATCATCTTCATCATCATCATCACCACCAGCAGCATTATCATCAGCATCATCATTAGTACCAGCAGCAGCATCATCATCATTAGTACCAGCAGCAGCATCATCGTCATCATCATCATTATCAGCATCATCATCATCATCATCATCATCATCATCATCATCATCATCATCATCATCATCATCATCATTATCACCATCAGCAGCATCATCATCATCATCATCATCATCGTCATCGTCATCGTCATCACCAACATAATCATCAGCAGCAGCATCATCGTCGACATCATCATCATCATCAGCAGCATCATCGTCGACATCATCATGATCATCATCATCATCATCATCACCATCACCATCACCATCACCATCATCATCATCATCATCATCATCATCATCATCATCAGTCTCAACATCATCATCAGCAGCAGCATCAGCATCATCAGCATCATCATCAGCAGCAGCAGCATCAGCATCATCATAGTCCTCTTTCTCCTCCTCCTCCTCCTCCTCCTCCTTCGCCTCCTCCTCCTCCTCCTCCTCCTCCTCTTTCTCGTCCTCCTCCTCCTCCTCCCCGCCTCCTCATCATCCTACCTCCTCCTCTACCCCTCCTACTCCGCTCCCCACCCCCACCATCCCCTACCCGCTACTCCTCCTACTCCCCTCCTCTCCTCCTACCTCCTCCTCTCTCTCCTCCTCCCCCTCCTCCTCCGCCCCTCTCCTCCTCCTCGCCTCCCCTCCTCCCTTCAATTTCTCCGCGTATCTATACGCCCCCCCAATGTCATCCCTGCCCCCCCTCCCCTCCCCCACTACCGAGGAGGGGCTCAGACGCAATACGCCGGTGGCGCCTGGGGCAGGAAATGCCCCGAAAAAAACTGCACCTCCAACGGCTTCCCCATCACCTCGCTCGTCGTCGTCCTCTCCTCCTCCTCCGTCCTCCTCCTCCTCCCCTCCTCTCCTCCTCCTCATATCCTCCTCTCCTCCTCTCCTCTCCTCCCCACTCCTCCTCCTCTCCTCCTCTCCTCCTCCTCCTCATCCTCCTCCTCCTCCTCGTCTCCTCCTTCATCCTGCCTTCCTCCCTGCTCCTCTCCTCGTCCCTCCTCCTCCCTCCTCCTCTCCTCCTCCGCCTCCTCCTCCTCCTGCCTCCTCCTCCCTCCTCCTGCCTCATCCACCTCTTGCCTCCTCCTCCTCCTCCTCCTGATCCTCCTCCCGCCTCCTGCTCGTACTCCTCCTCGTTATCACTATGGTCATCATCACGAGCATCACAATTTCAACATCATCATTGTTCTCATACTCGTCGGCCTCGTCATGTTCGACACTCTTCTCATCCAGTTATTCCTGATCACTGCTCGTCATTATCATCAGCGTCACCATCATCATCGCCATCACCGCGACCGTAATCACCATCATCATCATCATCATCATCATCATCATCACCACCATCATCACCATCAGCATCAGCATCAGCATCATCATCATCATCATCATCATCATCATCATCATCATCATCCTCATCATCATTATCATCATCAGCAGCAACAGCACCATCATCATCAGCAGCATCAGCAGTAGCATCATCAGCATCATCATCATCAGCATCAGTATCAGCATCATCATCATCGTCATCATCATCATCAGCATTATCAGCATCATCAGCAGCATCATCGTCACCATCATCAGCTGCATCAGTATCATCATCGGCATCATCAACATCAGCAAGACCACCAGCACCATTAGCACCATCAGCAGCATCAGCACCAGCACCAGCATCCGCATCACCATCCTCATCACCACCTTGATCATCCTCATCCTGATCCCTCTCGTCACGGCGCTGGGGCTAACGCGGCCTCCGCAACCCCGCCAGCGGCGCGCTCACCGCGACGGCGGCCCCGCCGCCCCTCGGCATCGCCCTCGCGGGGAGGGGGGAGCGAGGGAGGGGGGAGGGGCCGAGGAAAAGGCGACACCAACACCACCGAGGGCGAGGAGAGGCGAGGAGGCAAGGGGGATCTCACTGGTGGTGCGGTCCGCCCCCCCCCCCCCCTCTCGCTCGAGACATCCCCAGCCTCCGGCTCGGGGAGGCCTCGTGGACCTCCTCGCTGGAGGTGGCCCCCCCGGGTGGTGTTGGCGTCGCTTCTCCTCCCTCCGAGGGAGAGGGACCCAGGCGTGCTCGCGCCGCGGCTCGGAAGCTCGAGGATCGAGCATCGAATGCTGGCTCGGTTCCTCGAGGATCCAGGCATCGAGAGCTCGAGGAGAGCATTGAGGGACCCAGAGCTCGGAGGAGCGAGAGCTCTGTCTCCTCGGGGACCGAGCACCGAAAGCTGTCAAGGGATCGAGGCTCGAGCTGCCAGTGGGCCTCCGAGAGGACGGCCGCCTCGGCTGGATATCCAGAGGCCTCCCAGACTTAGGTCGGGCATGTCCCCCCACAGGCGAATTTGGGGATCAAAAATCTAAAATTCTCCAGAGAAGACCCATCAAAATGAAAAATAAGCAAAACATCGTCCCCAGACTATTTATTTAGTGGTTTTGAAGATTCCTCCTGCACGCCGGACTCAGGCTTCGTGGGCCCCGGAAGCGAAGGGCCGTTTTTTTCACCGTTTCCGAAAAAGTGTCTCCTGGAAACGGAAGCGGCAAGAAAACGGCGACCGGAAGCGGCGACAAAAACGGCAAAACGGATCCGGTAAAAAAACGGCCCTGTCGTTTCCATGGCCCACCAAGGGTCGGAGTAGATGGGGTCGGAGGATCGCGCCGCATCGCCGATGCATCCGCGATGCATCGTCGATGCACCAGCGACGCACCGGCGGTGCAACGGCGATGCATCGCCGACGTCGCCGTGAAGCCAGTCGGGCTCCGCATCGAGGCGCATCGCCGATGCATCGGCGATGCGGCGCGATTCTCCGACACCATCCACTCCGACCCAATCTGGGAGGCCTAGAGTTAAGGCGGGCGTGTCCCTCTACAGGAGGAGTATTGAAAAATTGTGAAGAAATAATCAGGGGATGATTCGTCGATTATTGTTTGACTATGTTTGAGCATTTTGGGGGTAGTCTTTGATTTTTCGCCCAAGGTCCGCCTGTGGGGGGACGTGCCCGACCTGAGCCTGGAGAGGTGCCCCCCGGCTCTGCGCTCCGCGCGGGAGCCCCCCCCCCCCTGGGCCTCGTGTGGGGTTCTCTGGGTCGGCGGTGCGCCCGGGGGGAGGTGGGCAGGGGGAGGCCTCCAGTCAGCTTCTCGGGAGGCTGGGGATGGGGGGCCCCATGCGAGCCCTGCCCCTGCCCCCCCCACGATTTCTGAGGGGGAAGGATGGGGTTCACTTCGTCTGGGAGCTCCCGAGCGAAGTGAACCCCACCCTCCCCCTCAGCAATCGTGGGGGGCAGGGGTAGGGTTCGCATGAGGCTCCCTAGAGGAGCTTGCGAAACTCCCGAGAGGGCCCGCCCCCCTCTCGCTTCCCCCCCCCAGGCTGGCCGCCGAGCCGGATCCTGACGTGCTCGACGACGGGAGGTTTCTGACGACGACGACCACCACCACCACCACCACGACCACGACCACGACGACGACGACGACGACGACGACGACGACCACGACCACGACGACGACGACGACGACGACGACGACGACGACGACGACGACGACGACGACGACGACGACGACTAGATCGCCAAATCCTGACATGCTCGCGCCGCGGAAAGACTCACGACGGAATGTTTTTAGCAGCTTTTCTGGCCTCCGGGAGGCCCGCGGCCGTCCAGAGAGCGACGCGAGAAATGCAGAGCTGGCCCCAGAGGAAGAGGTTCGGGACTTCTGGGAGCCCCGTGCTGATACAGTCGGACCTGGGCCAGAAGAATGTCCTTCAAGAACATGAGGCCCTCCTTCCGACAAAACAAACAGAACATCCAAGGGTACCCTCCCCAGGATGCACAAGAGCATCTAACCAGCACGAAGACACGAGGGTACCCTCCCCGAACCGACTTCTGGGGGCCCCGTGCAGACTACCGTCAGGACATCGCATCTGACGCAGACCCCCTCGCGTCATGAAACAATCACGGCGGGATGTTTTCACGTATTTTCCGCCTTTGGGGGCCCTTACCGGGCCTCGGGACCGTCAAAAAATGACTCAGGATGAGACGTCGGACGCGGGGAAGAGGTCCAGACGTAGGTC